TCTGTCCTTGGTATGATTCATGTCTGTCTTCTATGGAAGCATTGCTAATTTTTCTTGGCAGTCTGACTTTGCTTCTAACAAAAAAATTACAAGGCATCTGTAGAAACAAAATAAACAAACACAGAAAGACAGTCTTTTGATAAGCAACTGACAATAGCAGGGTTTTTAAGTAAAACATAAGAATCAGATGATTTTTCTTTCTTTGACATTTTTCTCTTAAAAGTCATCTTTCTCTAAAAAAATCCATCTTTCTTAAAAAGAATATCTTAAAAATTTGATCCCTGTACTTCCTTAACAGTCATATACTTTTATTCTCTGAATAAACTTAATTTTTGTCCACCATTCTTTCACACTATCACTTCTAAATAAGGACAGAATTTCACTTGATTTGAGCTGAACTAGAGATAATTCTCTTACTACGAAGTGATGGGACTTCCTTAATTCTTGCTCTATTCCCTGTCAAAGCTAGCTGAATTCCATAGGAATTGGGGTACTTCCTGGGGAAATTTTACTTGTCTCTCCCTATGCCATTTTAGCATTTATGGCTTTCTCTATTTAAGAGTCTGACAAGTTGTACAAACCAGTTGGTGAGAGAAGCAGTCTAAAGAGATTAGGAAAAACTGGCTTTTGGTGCTTTCATTGCTGAGCTATCTATCCCTCCACTTAGGTTACATTTTCTTCAATGAATCTTTTTTACTCTCCAACTAAGGAGCTCACTGTCCTTAGGCTGTTCCTCTCTGGAAGTCCTAAGTCACCCAGTTTGGCCTCTTTTCAGGCCAAGTGGTAGGAAAGCAAACAGACTGAATTCACTGTATTGAAATATCAATACAGTTCAGCTTCCCTCTCCCAACCTTTATCTCACAACTGCTGCTACAGGCTTTTATCTTGCTACTTGTTTTTTAGAGGGAGGTATTGCTTGTTAACTCAAGTGCCTAATGTGTCTTAGAATCAGCTATTTCCTCTTCTACCTGAGAAACTATCAATATTATTTTCTTCCTGTGCTGATCCCAGGAGTAATTGGATGGTTAGATAAAAACAAATGATGCATTTTTTTATAGGTATGGTTTATTTGTTCCTGATAACCATGTAACATAACCACTATGTATATCAGATTAACTTGACTGTCAATGAATTTAACTTCTGTTCCAAACTCCATGTGTGTTTATTTGTCAGTTTATTTCTCTGGTAATAAAATCAGCTACTCACAACCTAACCAAGATTAGAAAGAACTTGGCTCTCAGTCTATGCATAAATCTTTCTCACCTTCCACTCCCAAAAGTATACAATTCAGATAAAGTTGTTTTACCACATTTGGGCAATAAATATTCAGCACTTTCCAAGGGAATCTGGGGTCAAGAGAGATATTTTTTCTGATATGGAGCAAGAAAAGTTCACTTCGTAGCATAAAAATATTCCTCAAGACTGGTCTCCTGAATTTGCTTTATGCTTTTGTATTAGTCATTGATTATTATATAACAAATCATCCAATACTTATCATCTTAAAACAATAAGCATTACTTCACGATTTGTGTGGGTCAGGAGGAAGTTGCAGGCAGTTTACTGGGTGATTCTGTCTAGGGGAGTCTCACAATCAGGTTGCAATCAAGTGTTGGCAAAGGCTGCAGTCATCTGAAGGCTGCTACAATGTTTTTTATGACCTATAACCTCAGAAGTCCTACATTATTATTTCTGCAAAATCTTACTGGTAACACAGGTCAGCCTTGCTCAGTATGAGATGGGACCACATGGGGGAATAATACCAGTAGGCAAGGATAATTAGGGACCATCTTAATGGCTATTACATTCCATCACATCACTCTTTCTATCATACAAGAAATAGAAATTCCTTAAATAAGGAATGAGACCAATCTAGTCACTGAAAAGATACGTTCCCTATAAATTACTGAATTGCTTTCCTGGTAACCTATAAGACTTGTGAGATATCACTGGTGTCAATAATCACTAAATCTGCTCACTGATGGAAACAGTGAATAAATTTCTTTCTAGATAACTCTGTGCCACTGTGCTATGCCAGGCTGTTTGAATTTCCTGGCTCTCTATTCTTGATATAGTCCTGTGTGCACTACTGCACAAGACCTCCCATTCAGACTTAAAGCAAGAGGTTAGACTATTCTGAAGGGTAGCTGCTGAATTATTTTAAGTAGGGGAGAAACTAGGTCATATTTGTATTTTATTAGGTTCATTCTGTTGTGCTTGTACAGGGTGGATTTGTTGTAGGGAGGCAAAAAGAGCAATATTAGAGATAAAGAGACCTGCTAAGAGTCATTTCAGAGTCCCTTTGTCACAAAGTTTTATAGCTCTCAGCACTTGCTGTGATTCCTCATGAACTAAGTCAAGGCTCAGCAAAGTAATCTTGCCTAAGCAGTGATGTGTGCTGGTAAATGTTTAAACCAGCTCTAAAAAAAGAAAAGAAAAAGCCCTAACTGCATTTTGCCCATTGGCATAAATACTTCCACCATGGCTAATTTCAAGCTACTAACATGATGTTACTGGATGGGGAAATGGGAGGAGATATATACAGCTGGCCAGTACTACCTGTCTCTGATATCCACTGCTACCTTCAACTCTTAAAGTCATGAACATGAGGGGCCAGTAGAGCTAAAACCCTCATCCACATAGCCAGCAAGGGGGAAGACAAACTTCCTATTCCTAGGCACCTGTTCATTCCAGCACAGGGCTGCCAGGACCTGGGGGTTCTCATTACCTGCAGCAGGCTTGTGGTGCTAAAATCCCTAACTGGGTCTTCCAGACGACAGTATTAGCCTCTGAGAATGAGGGCAAGAAATAGAACATAGGGAGAGGGGCAAAAATTAACTTTTACGTGAATCAGCTTGAGTTATTTACTAGAAGCATCCTTTCAAACAAGTCAATCTTGGAGTGAGGCCACTAGATATAATGTAAAGTGCCTTTCTTTTAACGAGAAGCTGTAACTTTTTTGCATAAAGCAAAACCCAGTGAATATATATTGTCTTTATACAGAGTACTTTAGTGAACACAGACCGCTAAAAATCATTCTAGACTCCTGCTAACAGAACCCAGTCACAATGAGTTTTTCATACAAAATAAGGAAAATTTTCTGTCTACATCTACTATGCCACTTTCTTCCTCAAAATTAGCTGAAGAATTTGTTTTATAGGTCAGTCTGGGAAGTTGGTATATTTCCAAACAAAATACAACAAACTACCTCCAAGTCCCCATTAACAGCAGATTTGGATATGAATACTAGGCAGACTATAGTTGTACTTCCCTCCCCAAGTTCCACAGCCCCGCAGGGAGGTTTAATGGTCTCTGGCACACTAGGGCACAGACAGATTCTTCCTGGGCGAGAGGGTGGTAAATACCAGCAGATACAGAGAATGACCTCCTGGAAAGGTTCATCCAATGTGAGGGAGGAGAGGCAAGCGTGGGAGGGAGCCCTTAGGCTAACCTGTGTGCATGCTTTAGAACTGAGGAGACTGGTAATCAATGGAGATGGGTCAGCAAAATTAAGATCCTGACTCCTGTGGTTCTGTGACTTTGTTTCACATCTCTTCTGCAGGGAGCTTTCCTTTTTAGTTTTTCAGGACAGAAGACCAGATGCAAGCTCTTCAAAATGCCTAAGACACTTATTGTATAACTGCACGTTTCCTCAAGATTATGGCCAAGCTGTGTATTTTCAATGGAAACACCACAAAAGCAATGGTGTGACCTTATCATTAGGTCATATCTGGAGATGCGTGGTGTTGGCTTGTCTTATTATTGGTGATAAATTTGATCACTCAGTTAAGCATCTGTCTGCCAACCTTATATACTATAGAGTTACCTATTTTCCCTCTGAAATTAACAAATAATTTGTGGAGCAGTATTCTGAGACTAAGTAAATATCCTGTTTTTTAGCATACTTTTACAAACTAGTTTTAATTCTAACAATGTTGTCACAACTTCATCTTCTTTTTCTATATTATTTGGTATTTTACTGTAAGAAATAGCTTTCCTTTCTACCAAATTATATCAGTATGGATTTTTGCTTTATTCAATGGGTTATCCTTTAATATTTATTTTGATGCTCAGATTGTCACAAATTTGGTCAGTGGAAACCTTAAACTGGCTCCTGTGTAATATGATAAGCTTCCATCATTCTCCGAGCATTTTCTTTCTTTCTGAAAGAACAAGATGTGCTTGCTGGGCTTATCTTGTACTTTCCCTATTCCAGGAATGGAATCAGTTTTTTCTCCACAGAGCTCCATGTAGGCTGTATTTTTAAAAACTGGTTCTTGGATAGTGGTTGCAAGTAATATGTTTTTCTAATTTCTGGTTGGTAAATCAGTTTCTTGTGAATTTGGATAGCATGAAAGGACTCCAGCATTTAGTCACCTTCAGTGAATGTGCCCAACTGAGGGGCAGACTCCGGGTTGTGGAACATTCACATAATCAGCTCGGGATGCCCAGCTCAAATCAGTTTCCAATGCAACACACAGCTCTGCATCTAAGGCGCTGTCACAGAGCCATGGGTTGTCAGGAGAGCATGTGACCAGCCGCAGGAGGCTGTGATCCACATGTGATCCACAAAGCTAAATGCTCATCCCAGGATTCGACAATTACAAGGTGACTTACCTGTCAGGACCACGTCTCCTGACAACCTCAAGTTCTGGAGAGTAAGGAAAGGTCTTCCTAACTAACCATTTGAGAACTCCCACTCTTCAAAATCATAGACCATTAGAAAACCCCACTGATGAGGTAAATCTGGCATGCTGACTTCATTCAGTGTTTTTTTTTTTTTTGTGGAATGTAAACAGTCCAGTTAACTAGAACCATTCTTTGAAATGGATGAAGAGTCTTGATGTTTCTGGAATAATAAATCTATGTTTTCCCATTCCTTTCCAATTGCTATTCTATAGTGCTTTAAATGGGGCTGTCTTTTTCAGTTTACATATATTTGAGAAACACTTCTCAAAATATTTCACCTTAAAGCATTGAGGAAAATGAGAACAGAAACAAAACCTTGTAAAAATACATCTTTTAATAAACATCAAGAAGTACAGTGCAGTTTACTGAGGTTTTACATTGCAGTTTACAGCAAACATTATCTATTGTAGTGTATAATTACAAGTAAACTTAGGTTTCTTTTTTTTCTCCCATGGCTGGATAAACCAAATCTGGTATATCCTACCACATTTAAGGTTGTTTCCAAGCTGGCTTCTTTAAAAGGCCCTTAACATTAATGGTTTGTAATGACAAAAAAAGATAAACCCTATCACAATGATAGCCTGATGAGTGCTCAAAAGTTTCTAAAAAGAATTATAAATATTTGCTTTCCTTGGATGGCTTTGAAGAATAGCTATTGATAGCAAATATGAAATATTAAAGAAAATAAGAGAAACAGTTGTTTCTTTTGCCCAGTGAATCCATAATAAATACTAATTTGAGGCTAAAGATTTTGAAAAGAATGGAAAAAGCTTAAACATTTATATTTATGATCCCATGGATTAAAAACTGTCTATTATATTAATAGCTGAATCTACTTTTCTTTAATATGGTTTATACAAAGAATGACAATGGTGGAATTCTGACATTTCTGGACAAATTTATTGAGAGAGGGGACTAAAATTAATTAGCAAAGGGGGAAATTAATATTAATCTCAAAATTCTACCTGCCATTACCTTGGAATGATCAAGACTTAGCTATGTCTAAGAAGAGTTAAAAGGAATGGAACTGAAGGAAATCACTATAATTAAAAAACCATAGTCTTGCATGCTTTCTACTGATGACAAAAGTATACAACTGGATTTGCTATATACATAACCTAGTGTTGGAGTTAGAAAAACAAAACAGTACCACTTACATCCACAGAAGTACCAAAATCATACTGATCTACAAAGAGACATAACCTGTTAACCATGCAACTAGCTGTTTGTGAAATCTGTATTGGTTAATAGAACAAAATCCTTAGGAACATAGTACTCATGTGCAGCAAATTAAATCAAGGGTGTCAGCAACTCAAATTCCTAAGGGTAAAGGTCCAATATTCCTGAAATTCTAAACATTCATCTGTGTTAACATGGTTTCATGTAAATGCTACCCCATTAGAAGAGAAGATTTTAACTATTCTTCTCCCTTCAACACATCATCATACTTTCAGAGGTGAAAAGTGAACAACTTAACTTCTCCACTACTTTTGCCCATTCTCATTAATCTGACATGGTGCTACTACAGTGCCCAGGCTAAGGTAGGTGCTCTAAAGGAGCCAACGAATTGAATTTCTAAGTTGCAGAATATTGCTGGTATTGTACAATAAGCCTGTCTGTCAGATGCCATGTCTCCAGTTGAAATATATTCCTGGATCAAGGATTGAGAACGTAAGAACAGTGCCAATGAAGTTAAGTCTGTTTCCTAAGTTTGCACTTCTATATTAAATTAAAATTTCTTAGTGGATGGGGCCAGATCTCACACTTCTTATGTATCTCCTATAACACCTACTCAAGTGTTGGGCAAAGATACAAGCTCAAGGAAATAATCAGTGATGGGGGTAGGAACTCAATCAGCGGTGACTGTGGTCATGGTGAAGCCATACTTACTTCACTAATCACTCAAGAGTGAATTTCTGATGTTGTCACTGAAGAACAGATGCTTGCCCCTACCACTGTCTAAAAGAGAACTTGGGCCTCTTTCTTTCTTTTAGTCATGAAGAGATTATACATGGACACGAGTACCACTTAGTAGATAGTATCTGGAAAAACGTTTTTTCTGCCTCAGAGGAAGCACCAATCCATTACACGGCACATTTTAATTCCAATTATACAATTTATAGAATCATTAATTTCTAATTATGTTAAATGTTATCAATACTAGTAGATACTGAAAATGTTAGGCTTATTCTCTCTGACTTCACTTAAAATGCATTGTACTTTTAAACACTGGCATGAGGTAGAAGGTAAGGACTCACAAAAGAAAGTAATCTTCAAAATAACTAACTCTACACGATATAATTAGCCCCAAGCAAGAAGAAAAGTTACAGCCTTCAGCTGGTGGACTGACTACTGTTAAAATATTACTCTAACCTGAAAGATATTTCTTATATTTGAAATTGCCCTTTTGTCCCCCAGATTAAGGTATAGAAAAAGGACAATACATTCTGAGATATTCATAAAGATGGCATATACAACAGCTTCTTTGAGCCATCATTTTTCACTTTACCATGTTGTTCTAAATCATTTCAGTCAAGACACAGGTTCTTTCTACTTGAATACTGATCAGATATCAATACGGAGGTTAAAAATCCTTCTAGCATAAGAAGCAAGATTAAAGGAAAAATTTTTAAATAATGTACTTTTCATAAAAACTAGCAGCACTTCATTCTACCAGGACATACAAATTTGGCTTCATTAACTGGTCAGAAACTAAGGAAAATGTACACAGGTCCAAAACAATTCCTTATATAAGGGATATGTGAGGCTACAAGTTTTCTTTAACAACTAGTTCCCTATTAGGTGGTGTGTGAAACTACTGGAATGTCAATTTCAATGGCAGAGAGGCGGGAGCGTGCTGAATAGGGCTGTGCGTAAGTATGCATACTGGGAGGATGGCAGTATAGTGGTTGCCAGAAAGGAGAAGGCAAAGATTTGCATGCACAGTACCAAATAAACAGCAGAAGGGAAGTCATAAACAGGCCCCCAGCACTAGCCATAGTGACATACACTGCATAGTCAAAGGTAAAGACTGGCTCAAACTTCTTGTTCAGATAAATGTTATAAAATATGACCCAGATGGATGGAGAGAGGCTTACAGTACCAGCCAGGAAAAACAGCAGCCCAGCCACCAGGTGGCAGCCTGCACTATTAACCAGACACTTGGCCAATTTGATGTTGGGCACGGAGGACCTGAAGGCAGTGTTGCACATTCCAATCAGGCAGAGCAGCAGGGCGCTCACTGCAGTCAGGATGCTGAGAGGCAGGGCAAACTGGAGGACCCGCAAGTCCAGCTGGTCAACAGAGGAGTACCAAGTAGTGTCGTACATCAGGCAGTCACTGCTCCCATCATACCGGGCACACTTCACCCACAGGCCTGTGTAAACAGTCAGGTTTTTCTCATTTCTGTTGAACGTGATCAGTCGTAATTTTCTCCAGTTGGGAAGCAGGGTCCCCGCAAAGAGGCCTGCTACTGAGGCGATTCCACACAGGAAGGAGAGGACTGTGGCTGCATGGACATCCCGACAGCCCATGGCAGGCAGGCTTGTACAGTACTGTCAGTCAGACTAGGGGGTGACACACAAGAGGACAAATCATGAGGGGTCCGTAGTAGAGCAGACCAAGAAGGGGGATGCAAACTGGCAACACAACTAATGCCAATGCCAAGAGGGAAATTCTGTCTCTTGTTTCCTATGTATAATATAAATGTATATGAACACATGCGCATATGACCTCCAAGCACAGGTACACATACGTATTCTAGGTTACCGCTGACTGGGTCATGCAGCAGCCAAAGTCTTTAGACATGAGTATTTTTCTTCGGAGCAAAACAGAGGAACAACCAAAATAATTTTAAATTCTCTTAACATCACATTTCAAATCCTCTCAGTTGTCAATTTCAAAACCACTCATTCAACACACATACATCAAGCACTTTCCTGTCTCATGCACTCAAATACAGAGGAACAGAGCACTCACCAACCTGAACTATAAACAACACAACTATGAACAACATACAGCACAAATGCAGCCTCAAGTGTTTGTGCAAATGTAAAATGTGACTAGCATGCAGCTGAGACAAAGGCAGCTCATAATGGACAAGAAGCATAAGGGAACAAGCACCTCAGGACAGCAAGTGGTTGAGGGCAGACTGAGCCACACTGCTTTGAGTCCAATTCCCGCTTCCTCAATTACTAGCGAAGTGGCTTGGGTCAGCTACAGAACTTCTCTGTGCCTCATTTTCCTCACCTGTAAAGTGGGAAAACTAAAAGTGCCTATCCCACAGGTTGTTTTAAGTATTAAATGAGTTAATATGATGTCAAGTGCTTACACATCTGGTGCATTGCAGGTGCAATGAAAGTATTAACTACTTCTTAGCACTCAGTGCCCAGATCAGTGCTTGGCACACTAGAGCAAAACCTCCAATTATAAAGTAAATAAGCCAGGTGGATGGAAAGTATAGCATAAGGAACAAAGTCAGTAATACTATATCTTTGTATGGTGATAACTGGTAACTACACTTATCGCGGTGAGCATTTCATGATGTATGTAACTGCTGAGTCACTATGTTGTACACCTGAAACCAATATAATACTGTATATCAACTTCACTTAAAAAAAAAAGAGAACATTTGTTGAATAAATGTAAAGTAAGAGAAAGTAAACATCTCCTTCCTATATAAAGGCTCACTGGGAAATTACAAAATGTAAATGGACTACTGTCCTTTGAGTTAGTCAAATAAAAAGAAGAAAACAAAGGTCCCTGAAATTACTCTGCTCTACAACTTCCTGGTAACTTGCATGCTTTCTAGGTTATTATGCTATTATTAGTTACTGGTTGTCATACTACTACTGCTCATATAAGATGAATGCAAAGACTTCTGAAGTAATGACAACCTATCTCTATTAATGCTATTATAAGGAAAAGGAAAAAAAGTAGCCAGGCCTTTCTCTCATCCCAAATTAAAAAGTTGTTTTCTTTTTCTGCATATAAACTATAAACACCAGTTTCTTATTCAGCTTTAATTTCTTCGAGAGTTTGAAACTCACTCTCCAAACACCACTCAAATATATTTTCTCTGCCTTCTATCATGTCCCTCATGAGGCAATAGCGTAGACTACTTCAATAAGGTAGTATAGCCATTTCATTGGTCAGAACATGACACGAGGGCAAGTTGAGAATATTCTTCTTTCTGGATATAGTACACGTTTAGAGAATCCATTATACTTTGCAGGGTCAAGTATCATCTGCTGAGATGGTGTGGTAGCATTCCCAGGAGTACAGGGGTCAGAAAGAAGACCAAAAAGCTAGGAAACTGGGTTTTAAATGTGTTTGAATGGGAGGGCACAACTTTCTTCAGAAAACAATGTATCTGGTATATTTAACTTATCATATAAACTGGGACTCATTTTACTAGCAGAAAATATATAGGTATGTGTACAAACATATATATACACACAAATATTTAAGTGTACAATACAAAATTAGAGTTTAAGCACAGTAACCACTTTTTGAAGTCCTTAAGTATAATTAGTTCTAAGTTTCTCCATTAATACCATGAATATTAATTTACTACTTGCTTATCATGTTGTCTTCCATCAGTTATTACCAGAAGTAGCAATTACTTAAGAAAAAGTTATAGATGAAAATACAAAGGAATTATAACTCTAATTTTTTTTCCTTGCAAATTGGGGGGAAAAAGCTGTCTTGCTTAATTTTAGCAAACAGGTTTGAGGATGTTTACACTGGTAAAGGCTACTCAATTTCAAATTTTGGATGTTAGACTCCAAAGTTTAGCTTCTTGTTGGTTTTTGCTCATTCACCTATCTGCTCCTCCATACACTGTGAGCAACCTGGATAATGCCTGGCATGCAAGTCATTCTAGGAATATTTGAATAAATGAGTACTGTGCCTTGTTCCAAGATCACAGTAACTCACAAAGGCTGGTTACTGATAATGTAGAATTGGACAAGGAAGTAGCTATTACTAAGCAATCATTCATTCAATAGGTATAAACTTAGTTATCAGCACATGCAAAGTACTCTGGTAGGCCCTAGAGGAACACTGAGGACACTAAGACCTGGACTTAGTGTGTTAACAGTCAGACTGAGGGAAAGAATATGCTGTTTTATGAGAACTCACAATGCTGATAGTAACCAGTTGTGTGTTACCACATATCCAGTGATTTTTGTTAGATATTATGCGAAGTGAACCAATAAGGTACCTGTTCATAAAAATGTTTCATCTTGGGTTAAAGAAAGACTAAGCAATGAAAGGGAATGATGACTCGATCAAAGTTGTGAAGACAAGAAAAAAGTTCCCTCTCTTTCAAAGCTCCAGAACTCCTTTTGGTAACTAATGTGTTTGTACTAATATTTTCTTTTTAAAACAGCAATGGAGGAAAAAAGAATTCTTGCCATGTGAAAACCCTGTGGGTGTCATAACCCAACCATGATTCCTTCTTGCTTTCAGAGGTAGGGGACACATATTATCAATGTATTTGAAATTTCTCTGACCAGGCTGCCCTGTAACCACTGGTTTCTACAATGCACAAGGAATGAGAAACAAGATCGATCGGGATGAATGATTTTATTATTAGTAAGTAAATTCTTGTAGTTCACAGCCTATGGACTATCAAATGACATTAATGAACAGAAGTAGCTCAATATTTACTGTAGTATCAAGTGTGTTCAAATTTATCCTGCATTAAATCAACACAAGTGTTTTATCAGTCCCCTGAACTTGCTTTTGCTGAAACATTCTTAGCTCAGATCCCAAAGACTAAAAGTCCTTTTTACAGAGCCAGCAAGGATACCACGGCATTTTTCAGAAGGGAAATACTATTAACCTCAATCCTTTAGCTGAATTTCAACCTCAGTTCTGTAACCTCAGAGCTGTAAACAAGGTCCCTGCTCTTTGTAACTTCCTTTGGATACTTTTTATCCCTGTTCTTAACTGCACACATGTATGATTTGGAAAGTCATATATCCCATTAGAGGGATCAAGTTACATTTTCTAGCAGTATTTGGGAGAAGGACTGTGTTTAGTGCTTTAAAGCTGAAAGATAATGCTGACTCTCAGGTTAGATCTGTTCATATTCAGAAGGTAAAAAGACCTCTACTCTTGTGCTATTCCAATTTTGAATCCAGAATAATTTGTTTCATATGCAAATCTAACCATTTCCACTATATTTACCATTCAGTGGCTTCCTATTTCCCTCAGAATAAAGTTTCTAAGTTCCAAATCCCACCATCTGGTTCCTGCCAAATTCTCACCCAACTTACACACTATAGTCTGTATCTGCTTTTCTTTTAACTTTTCAAATTTTATTTTTAATTTGGCCTAGAGCTTTTACTCATGTTATTCTTCCTCCTAGAACTTTCTTATTCCCATCCTATTGCTTGCTTAGCTAACAAGTATTCATCTTTGTAGTTTCCAGGGAGGCTGGCCCTAAACCTGCCCTCTCCTCTGCTGCCCTGAACCTTCCCCCTGCCCTTGATTATGTGCTCTGGTAGCACCTTGGTACTTTTTCTTCAGTAGCAGTAATTATGCTTTTAATCCTTGTTCAGTATTTATCTTTGCCACCAGACTGTGAATTCCAAGACAGAGAGCCTTCTGTTTTACTCACTGTTTCCAACACTAGCACACTGAAGGCACGCAATTATTTATTCAATGAATGAACAAACAAATGGAAGTTTCATATGTGTATGGTCAGGAAATAAAGTTATAAATCTGCTCTATTATCAGTCCTACTCATTTATTTCATTCATATTCTATGTTCTGAAGCCTCCAAGCTGCTTCTTGACCTTGCTTTCCATTCTTTATTGGCCAAAGTCTCTCCCATTTCAAAAAAATAAAGTTCACCTTCTTTTCTAGAAACTTCCCAAGAAAGAAAAAGCCATTCCCAGGTATTTACATACAGACTAGGCTTCCAAAAATACAAACCTAAGTTTGACAACACTGGTTAACTTTCACAACGATTAGGGAGTCAATCAATTATAACTGTATTGATTCTTGCATTTTCAACTTAATAGGTATGTTATGTACTGGGTATACCCCTCTTTTCAGAGTGGTTAATAAATCAAATGTTTGCTTATGAAAACTAAATAATTTACTGTGTTTGTACTAATATTTTCTTTTTAAAACAGCAGTGGAGGAAAAAAAATTTTTTGCCATAAGCCTCCAAGCTGCTTCTTGACCTTGCTTTCCATTCTTTATTGGCCAAAGTCTCTCCCATTTCAAAAAAATAAAGTTCACCTTCTTTTCTAGAAACTTCCCAAGAAAGAAAAAGCCATTCCCAGGTATTTACATACAGACTAGGCTTCCAAAAATACAAACCTAAGTTTGACAACACTGGTTAACTTTCACGATTAGGGAGTCAATCAATTATAACTGTATTGATTCTTGCATTTTCAACTTAATAGGTATGTTATGTACTGGGTATACCCCTCTTTTCAGAGTGGTTAATAAATCAAATGTTTGCTTATGAAAACTAAATAATTTACTGTGTTTGTACTAATATTTTCTTTTTAAAACAGCAGTGGAGGAAAAAAAATTTTTTGCCATGTGAAAACCCCTTATTAAGAACTGTAGAAATGCACAAGCCTAAGAACACCCTTTAATATATCTGAGGAGCACTCATGAACACTAGCTGAGTGACAGCTCTGCACTGGGTCTTATACACAGATGTGTGGGCTTGTTGTTTCCATCTGAGAGGCATCTTGGTATTGTAGCCCAGGTGACCAAACATACAAATGCCAGTTTTAACCTACCATCTGCAAACTGGGCAAGTCACCTATGTCCTCTGAACCTCAAATATCTCATCTGTAAAATAGATGTGAGATCATGAATAGTAAAGTCCTGTGTAAAACTGAATATGGTCAGAAATTTAAGTTTGTGATGATTATTAGTAGGCTTATTTATTTTCTTTAGGGGAACATGCTTTTCTTTGGACTCCTAGCAAACAACCACAGATGATCACAGCCATGTTTCAGTAATGACAGGGCATTCTGTTTGGAGTAGAGCAAATGAAATAAGTACTCTGTTTCAAAACCACTTGACATTTGTTATTTGATTATCTGTTCCACAGTAACTTTCAGAGAAGTAGATGAATAAAATTTGGTATACAATTAAATGTGATCAAAGATATCACTTCAAATAAAAATGTTTTTAAATGGGTATCTGTTCTGTGGTTTTGAGTAGAGTTAAAAGATGTCTGCAGCAGGAATAGTGGTTAAGAGCTTTAGGAATTCACAGACCCATTACTATGTACTTTTTCAGGGACAGTTTCAAGGAATAGCCTATGAGAGTACATGTGTAGCAGCACCTACACTAATTCTTGATGGTAATACTAACAGTCTCTTCTCTCTGTAATTTGGGTTTTCTTAGAAACTATAGGTCATCAATCACTGCACTCACGAGGGAGGTCTGTCCTTTGTTGAACAAGAGAAAATGTATCATCTGATGTAGGGTTGCAAAAGGAGGAGAAATAAGATATAATCAAAGAATGTACTTACTTTTTGAAGCATTTGATAGTTCTAAAACTTAATCAACTTAGAAGAAATACACGCACATCTGAACAGACAGTAGAGATGATCTGGGGCTAAAGAAATAGGAAAAAATTTCCCAAATTAATACATCTTTAAAAGTTTAATTTAAATTCACATGGTATTTTGAAAAAGAACTATAAATCATCTAAAAATCAGTGAAATGTTATACCAAAAAAGGTGGGAAGCTTTCTTTTTTATTATTATTATTTTTTTATTTTTTTTACATGAAGAACATTATGTTTACTAGGCTCTCCCCTTCACCAAGTTCCCCTCACAAACCCTTTACAGTCGCTGTCCATCAGCGTAGTAATATGTTGTAGAATCAAAGGCAGTTTATCCTCAAATTCACATTATGTATACGCAAGATACAGAAGAAAAAACTGACCCTCATTTTGTGATTTAAGAAGACAGGAGAAAAGGATAAAAATCACTTTACTGTCACTGCATAAAGAGTATCGCCAATGATTCTGTAACAGTAACTGGAATAGTGGGGGTGAGGTTTTAATAATACGGGTAACTGTTGAACCACTGTGTTGTATACTTGAAACCAATATAAGAATATAAGAATGTATATCAACTATACTTCACTTAAAAGAATCACTTTATTGTCTTGGGAATAAATTATCAATATTTAATGAATTTTTAAGACCCTTTTCATGATTATAGAGAAAAGAATAAGGAAGGCCAAATAAATACTGAAAAATTAGTTATCTTGGGAGGAAAAAATTTTCTTTTATAACTTTTAAAAGGATACTGACAACAGAACTAGACAAATCAATGGGTATTGTGCATCCTAAAATTTGCAACTAGGATGCTTGTTGAGTTTACAGTTCCACCAATGGCTCACCTGACATTTAAATGTTTTCATTTCTTTCTTTTTTAGCAAAGGATATAGTGTTACTATACTCTATTGGAAATGGGAAGTTATTAACCATTATTCTACACTTGAGGTTCTTTAACTTGCCTGCACAACTTCCACTTCAAATACTATTTATCTCAATAGGTAGGATGAGAAAGAAAACTTATAAAGGCCTGAGAACTTCCTGGATTAAGGCGTTATCACTTGCCCTTTTACAATCATTATGCAGAATGTTGTGCACAACAGTCTGTACATTAGGGATTTTAATCAAAGTATTTTTCTTGAGTTGGTATCAAGTACAAGTACTCACTTCAAAGTCAAGAGAAATCGTTTTACAGTTAAAAACACACACAACGATCCCTGAGCAATCATTTTAAGTGGGGCACCGATTGTGGCCCTCCTCTAGCAGGTGAGGTCAGCTTCCAAGGCCTGTAACCCAGAATCTGGGTTTCAGAAGAAGCAAATCAAGCTTCCAGAGCAACCCGCACTCCCCCTCCACTCTTCTCCGTCCCTTCCAGCTGTGTCCTTAGGAGCACCAGGGCTGGCAGAAAGAACAGCTCTCCTGCTCAGAGCCAGTGGAAAGCTACCGCAACAGTGACTATTACCACTCTCAGAACAAGCCCATTCCTGCAACACTGAGTGGTTTGAACCGCGAGCAGATCATCATTACACAACCAGCAGCAGCTGGTGATTCGAAAATAGCAACTTGCAGCTCCACATCACACACTGGCAGCCAAACCCCAAGCCCTTGGCTGCTCCGACAAGAACGCCTCCACATTTCCATACTCTGTACACAAACGTTTTATGGCTTTACCAAATTCCTTGTCACTCAGTGTTCACGTTCACAAATGTGGTCAGCATTTTTCAATGCCCCTGATTCCCTTCGACTTAACTACTTTACACAAAAAACCCTCAACGACTTATGCAAAAGACCCAGAAATCGGAACATTCCTGACCACACCTACCTGTTTCTCAGATCGAGGTTATTTCAGTCGCCCACACTGAGGAGCCTCTGAGAGAGCCTCCCTCTCCGCGTCCAAGGAAGCGCGTCCCAGCGAGCCGCCCGGAGGCTTTTGGGAGCGTAATCAGGTTCCCCCGAGGCCCAAAGGAAGCAGCCCTTGGGTGACTGTGAGACTACAATTCCCAGAGTCCCCTGAGCCGCCGGCCGCAGGCGACATCCTGCCACTCCCTCCCGCCTTTCTCTCCAGGCGCCCAATTCCCCATTCCTGTTTTGCACCGTCGCTTCCGTTCAGGTGCGCGTTGTAGGTCTTAAAAAAAAAAAAGTTAAACTAAACAAAACCAAAAAGAGTTTGAGTGGGTACCAAGTAAGTATTTACTAGAAAATTAGATTTGCAGGAAAGGTTTTTAACTAAAAATCCTTATTTTTCTCACCAAGTATTTTAGCGAGGCACAAAGTGGAAGAGTTCAAACTCTAGTATTTAAATTCTTTTCAAAGGTACAGAGAATTAAAGTAGTACAATGAACACCCATGTACTTACTCTCTAGATTCAACAGTTATCAACGTTTGCCACGCTTATCTCCCATTTATGCGTGTGATCATTTTAAAGCAGTTATGCGTGTGATCATTTTAAAGCAGTAGGCATCTTGACATTTAAGCGTCCTTTATTTAAAATTTTTTGATATATCTAAGTTTGTATGGAGCTCTGCTGCATTTTACTTGGGTGGCCTTGGGCAAGTCACCTGCCTGAGGTTACCTACAATGAGAATAATAAGATTACCTACATCACAGGATTGTCTTGAAAATCAAGGGACTTAATATAGGTGAAGTGCCAAACACATAGGTACTTGAACTAACTTTACTCTCCTGCATATCAACTGCCCTGTCCCTTTCTTCGTGGCTTTTCCTAAATTTGAAATCTTGTATTAGTGAATATCTGAGTTAAAGGATTCAGAAGTCTTATGTAAGACTGACGTGAATTTTTTTTTTAATAAAGATGAAGTGTCATGATGCCTACTACTTTCAAATGATCACACACACAAGATGAGATAAATGTGGCAATTGTTGTTAATCCTTTTAATTTGGAGAATAAGTATATGGGTGTATATTGTACTATTCAAATTCTCTGTACTTCTGAAAATCTTCAAAATCAAAAGTTTGAGAAAAAGCATCATAGTTTTAAACAAAAGTAAAGGATCACATCCATCCCTGTCCGCTCTGCCTCTGCATGAACTTGGGCACCTGCAAAACCTCTTTGTGCCTCAGGATCTCATTTGTATTAATAATATACCTACATCAAAAAAGTATAGTGAGGATTAAATGAGTAACTATAGAGAAGTCTACAACAGTGTCTGACACACAGTAAGGACTATACATGTTTGCTAATACCATTTTTCATTTTCGTGTTGCTCTAGTAACAATGGCACTATTTGTTAGTGATGGAAAAAGGGGAAGAGGCTACCTTCTGTCCATACTACCACCTTCTCATCTGCCATACTGCTTCAGAGGATGGATAAGTTATCTAAGACCAGAAGCAATCCGATCCCAAAGCCAGAAAAGAGAGAGCATTGGGTAGTAAAAGGATTTCTGGACTCAAGGTCAACTCACAACAGCAGATGGATGATGGCGATATCACACAGCCTAGCTCATTTCTTTGCTCTGAACTTCAGTTATTTCATAAAACTGAACTAAATAAAGTAGCTGTGTACAAAATCATTTGATAATTTGTTTCCCAATCGCTGATGAATAGTACCTGGTTAGAAGACTTTAGCTGGAATATACATGTAGTGATTATAATAATAATAAAAAATAACAGCTCCAAAAGGAAGGGAAGACCAACCCTGTATCTAGACTTACTGATCAAGTTTTGATCTATGGTATAGCAGAGATGGAATGAAATACTTATGTGTCCTAGTGGGACTAGAATATTGGAACATCATTCTCAGAAGTACTTTAGATGAGACTTTAGATCAGCAATTAATCTTGGCTCTCCAGTTTTTCTCCACAGACTCCTTAAGGAGTAAATCAAATCTTAAAATAAATTCACTGCAATATACCAGCCCCAAAATTCTACAAATATTCCCATTTGGTTACTATATTGGTTTTCCATTAGCTACTGTAACAAGTTACTATAAATGCAGTGGCTTAAACCACCACAGATACATTATATTACATGTCTGGAGGTCAGATATCTGATATGGGTCTCACTGGGCTAAAATCAAGGTGTCAGCAAGGCTACATTTTTTTGGAGGCTTTATTTCCTTGCCTTCTCTATCTTCATGAGGACACCTGCATTCCATGGCTTGTGGGCCCTTCCTTCTTCAAACCCAACAATAGCTGGTTGATTCTTTCAACATCAAAATCACATTACTCTGACATTCTTCTGCCTCCCTCTTCCATCTTTTAAGAGCCTTTGTGATTACATTTGATCCACCAGGACCACCATAATTTCTCTATTTTATGGTCATCTGATCAGCAACTTTAATTCCCCTTTACCATGTAACAGGGCATATTCACAGATTCTGGAAATGAGGATGCATACATCATTAGGGAATCATTCTGCCTACCACTGTCACTAATCACCTCTTTCTGGTTGAATCAAAAGGCCTCTTTGGGCCCTAACCCCTTCTACCCACTTCAGGTCCACACTGCACAATTCTGACAGTCTTTTTTTTTCTCCCTAGACTCCTCTTTCTTGGATTTGGAAACACCAACATTTCTACTTTCTACTTCTGATTGGTTACCTGTGCACCTGTTGCTTTCACTTCTTCTTCTCCACCCCCCAAAAGGCTCTGTCCCAGTCCCCTATATCAAGAGGGAACCTTCTTTTCTCTTTCCCCTAATCCCCATCTCTGGCCAAGACTTCCCATAACTGGAACTGTTTCAATTACCAGATCATATGGTTAACTGCTATTGCTTCAATTTCAGATTTTTTTAAATACAAATCAATAATTGTACCCCTTACATCTTCTATAATTTTTTATCTTCTTTGATATTTTCCTCATAGTCTTTACACAAATTAGGAACCACACCCTCTGATTCTTCCTTTGAAATACTATTTGCCCCTTATTCACTACAAAGAATTATCACAGTCCTGCTTGTCTTCACCTCTTCGCAGTAAGATACATGCAACCATTTCCTTACATATACACTAATGTCAATGTGAGTTTCATTGAAACTGTTCCTGAACTGGGAGTGGCCTCCTGCTATCCTACTTGCCTCCTCCCTTCTCTGAATATTTTTATCTTCTCTAAACTACATACATCAACTCCAAATTGTAAACTAACTTGTACATATTGTTCCCTTTTTGTATGTTAGTCATATGTCAACATAGTATTTCCAAGTCTATGACTGAAACTCAACAAATATGGATTAATTTTAAAAAAAAGAACTCCCCATGTACTGTTTTTTACAGGAGCCTGTCAAATAAAAAATAACTGATAACATTATTTACTAATTCAGAAGTTAGGCAGTATATTATTATTAATTGGTAGAGAAGAACAGTCAGGAAGTGTTATGGGTTGAATTTGTCCCTCAAAAATTTATATGTTGAAGTTCTAACCCCCTCAATATACCTTAGGATATAAACTTATTTGGAGATAGTGATTACAGAGGTAATCAAATTAAAAAGAGATCATTAGGGTGAACCTTAATCCAATATGACTGGTCTCCTTAAAAAAAAGGGAAATTTGGAGACAACCACACAGAGAGAATGCCATGTGAAGATGAAGGCAGAAATTGGGATGCTTCTATAAGCCAAGGAATGCCAAAGATTGCCAGCAAACCACAATAAGTGGGTGAGTGACATCGAACAGATTCTCTCACAACCTTCAGAAGTAATTAACCCTGTTGGCACCTTGTTCTCTGATATCTAGCTTCCAGAACTGTGAGACAATCAATTTCTGTTTAAGTCACTCAGTTTGTGGTACTCTGTTGCAGTAGCCTTAGCAAACTAATACAGGAATAAGGGAAGAAGGTTCTGAATAAATTAAGCAGTTAGATAATCTCTTTAAAAACTGTTAAGAATTTGTAGTTACTATAATGTAGTTACTACAGATGACAGCACATTTCTAATCTTTTACAAAGTTACTATTAAAGAGGCCAGGGAGGAAGTGAAGGAGATTGTACAAAAGAATTGGCTTACAGTAGGGTTTTGGAGGCTTTTTCCTGTCATTCCATTCAGGCATTTTAAATCTGTCTTTCATCATGCCTATTACCCACCAGTCCCACAAGTTCCTTTTCAAACGTTTTTAAAGAGGAAGCACTCGTTAAACTTTTGATGACTGTGTTACAAATGTGGCATTATGATACTAATAGTTCTAAAGCAGGTGAGTTTTTCTGGCTCGTATTTTTTATTGGAAATTTATGTGTGCTTGTATTTATAATGTGGGTTCATTATATATTGTTTTTACAATTTTTATTGAGCCTGGAGCACCACGTTTATGGAAAGGTTTTTGAAATTGAGGTTCAGTTATTATACAGTACTCTATTTCCCCCCCATTAGAATTAGTTGACCAGAGGCTTTTATTTACTCATTTAATCATGTTTCAAATCTATCCAAAGCCATAAGCTTTTACTCAATGTCTGCTCTTGATTTAAAGTATTTTCGGCCTCCCTCAATTTGTAGTAGACCATATAAAAATAAAACAGAAGGTATATTTTAGCTTCAGAGTCATATCCTTTTTATTAAGATTACACTACAGTCTTCTCAAAGCCTCTTATATAGAAATTATACCAACAATAATGTTTTATAACAAATAGAAAATGAAGGCACTGGTCAGAAGATATTGGCAATTTCAGAAAAATACATTGTGCCATGAGAACGAAGTTTTTATCCTTTGCTTTTAACTTTCAATGCACTTAAGAGTTCACAAAACAGAAGAAAAAAAACCAAAACGACCCTACCTTGCCATAGATTGCTCCAACATTAGTTACAATATAAACTGCATATGCTATTCTTCAAATTCCAAATATTTCAAAGGACACGATTCAGATAATAGCTATGCTTCACATAGCTTGGTTTCTGGGGATCCCCGAGGAGTTAATTTCTATTATGAACACATTAGTAATATATTCAAAGGTGTTTACTTCCCCTGAAGTCTTCCAAGTATCCAATAACTATTAATTAAGCAACAGTTGTACAATGAGAAATCAAAAATTTTAAATTAGCACTGCCTAAAATTAGTGATAGGTTACAGTCAGAAATGGTAGTTGAAAATATCCCTGTATTTTTTCATCCTATGAAAGTCAACTGAGGCAATAAACCCACCTGCTACTCCTGAGCTATCCCCAGGGAAATACTACAACTTTCAAACTTACATACTTTTCTCTCTCTCGCTCTCCCCTTTTCTCATTCTATTACCTATCTGATTTTGCTTTTCCTTCAGGAGGCTTGTGACACCCACTAGCCTTTACTTACCTGATACTTACCTTCTCCCTGCCAAGCTCTAATCACAAAACAGAAAACAATTCTCTGAAATCTCTAAGAAAAAAAGATGTTTTTCATTTTTGCCTAATTTGCAGTAAAAATCATAGCATGTTGTCTGCAACTGTCAACTATGTTTGCCTGAATGGCTTAATTCCTAAGGTATAGTTTGAAGGCAGACTTGTTTTTAAATTATAAAATATTTCAGACTCTCAAAAGGTAAAAAAAAAACAAACCAAAACAGTCATGTATCCATCATACAACTTAAAAAATAAATGACCAGGAGGCAATACAGTGTTTAAGAGAGAAAATACATGTGAAACATTCAGCACAGTGCTCAGCATATAGAAACATTATCATGTTAGATATTATGATTACCACTACAGACCATGTACTCAAAATTTCTGTAGTTGTTTCACTTGTCTATTCCATAAGGAGGAGGAATAGATTTAAACCAAATCTGAGGTGCTCTTAAGGGTTTCAAAATGTGCACTAAATTCAATTCAATCTGGTCTTCAGACAAAATGTTGCCATATTTTTGAGATAAGGTGTCTTCAGTGTAAGTCTTACAATGTATATTATTGCTAATTTTCATTGTTTTTAAGCTACAGTTTGTAAGTATACTTACCTTAGCTGCTTTGAAAGGTTATTTATAATGTACCTTAAATGATATTAAACTTCTCTAGATGGAACTTACCTTTGTTAACCGAGTTTTTTTATCTGAATGTTGCACGACCTGTAGAACTGCTTGGAAAATACTCCAAGGTTTTATATGCATTTTTGGCAAGAAAAAAAAAACCCTGTAGTTTTCATTAACTTTCTCAAATGAATCTCTATACTCCATTCTCCCAAAGCAAATGAACATTGAGTTAACAGGAACAAATTTTACAAGGAAACTAACTGGATAAAACCTGAAATAAAATGCGCTTGACCTAATTTTTCCCACTATGAAAGCAGACTTTCTTCTGATTATATAACTAATACATGTTTAACACTTAAAATATTGATTTTTACATAAAGTTCATATTGCTGTGATAAAAGCAACATAGATATATATTACAAAAAGAACAACAGATTTCTAGAATTTTTGTATTCTCTTTTTTTTTTTCAGAGCACAGATCCAACCTCACAGTACAACATATTTAATACTTGACAATGCCTGGTAGTATAAACTTGTAATTCATGATAGTAAGTGAGCTACTGGACTTAGTAAAAATTTGTTACACATAGTGTATTGATACCCTGGCTATTCAGAAATACGACAGTGAAGTATTCTAAAAAGTACATGTTCTGAAAGGTAAAAATGAAAAAGTCTTGCTTAAGAACAAAATAAATGGCATCTGAGATGATGTTAAAATAGTTATTTCAGAATCAATCTTTAAAATAAAAAAAATTTTTTTATAAAATAAAAAAGAAATCCAGATTTACTCCTTTTAAAATAAGAATCAGTCAACAGAAAAAGGTACATAGAAGTACATTTTCAGTAACTAGAAAATACAAATAATGGAACATTTTAGTGAGTTATGTAACAAATGCTGCAGTTAGCTGTAGAGTAGTAACCTGGACATTATAGAGCAAATGAGATACAATTCCTTTTAATTCTCCATACACACTACTGTCTTTTGCCACAGCAGGATATAAAGACTGTGGTGTCAGAACTTCAGAAATTCACCTGATGAAACTATCCTCATGTTGCTACTTTTTTATATTTAGTAAATAATATAAGTAAAAATGAGAAAAATGATACTGAAGTCATAAATGTAAAACACATCAATATGAAACGTAGTCACTATGGTAAGTACAGGTGTTCAAATTCCAAACACTCTTGCTCCTTTGCTATAAAGTGGAACCAGGCTATTCTAATGCCCTGCAGTTTCTGCTATTCAATGTGAGATTTATCAGGACAGCAGGCCCTGTTTCCCCTCTTCAACACTACATGCAGCACTCTGAATGGTGCCTGGCTCAGGGGAGACACTCAATAAATACCTGTGTAATGAAAAAAAACACGTAAGAAAAGCCAGTGACCTGGGGACCTGGGATGTGAGATGGGAGTGGGGAACAGAAAACAGAATAAAAGTGAAGTGATGCTTGAAAAAAGTCACATGGTCATATCAGAAGAAATTTAAGTAGAACAATACTGGCATCACTTTAATACTTAGAGCCATTATGTAAAGCCTTCTCTAAACCTTAAATTCCAAAACAATACCTAATAATTTAAAAGAAGCATTGAAGAATAATTTTAAAAAGCTCATTAACTTGCTACTGTTCTGTTAAAAAAAAAACTTGGAAAAAGTTTTGAACCTTTTTGAACCATATAATGAACTCATTTGGGTAAAAAGGTACATGAAATAAAAGAATTCTGTAGGAACATAAGAAACTATCGACAGTCATTTTCCCTGGGAAGGACTTGAGGGCTTAATGCAGAAAGACAGGAGCTTTTTTAAAATTTATATGCTTTTGAGCTGTTAAATTTTTTTTTTTTACAACAAATGTGTATATTTTATAATAAAACTCACAAAGAGAAAATGTCCAATTTGTAAGTACTATTGAAACTTGGGCAGAAATTAAGAAATTATAATCTCTTAGGAATATACTAATGATTTGATAATACTGTCTAAAGTTTGTACTTCCTATTTATTTTCTTTATACTAAAATACAAAAATAAACAATGACACAGGTTAGGAGGCAAGAAAATGAGATATACATCAGTCTGCTCCAAAGCAGGAAAAACACTTATACTTAAGAAAGAAAAATTTCCAAAAGATGAAATTACAAACATCTATCTGCTGGCTTCTGTTAAATATTATCAGTGATCTTTATTATCACTGAACATATGTTCAGATTCAGGGTTTTGAGGGTTTACAAAAAAGGGAACTATTATATATTTAGTACAACCAGGAATATGACAGACTAAAAAATAAACAAAACCTAGTTGCTCATTCTATTAATATTCTAGGGAATCTATCTATCTATATAATCTCACTAAAGACATTGTAAGTACAAGAATATCAGAGGACTTTCATATAGGTGGATTGGCCATAAATTATAAACTGTCATTTTTAGCTTCAGTTACACTTTTAATATTGCTATACTTAACTGCAAATAGTAACTTTAAAGAGGTATGGTTCTTGAATGATGGCATATATACCAGAAGTTAGTAATAACTACCTTTCTAAAAAATACTTGTCTGAGAAAAAGCTTTCAAATGAAAACAATTTCAGTATCTAGATTTAAATTATATCTATCTGGGACTAGTAATAGCATTCTTTGATGGCAGCTTGCTATAAGACATTGTATTGGAAATCTGTAAATTAAGCAACTGTTTCTTATGATATGCATCATTTTCCTGGTCAGCATGTTCATCCAGAGATTTTCTTATACAGTTTTTTAATTCATCAATTCCTTCTCCAGTAATTGCAGAGATGGGGATGATATGTTGGAACTCCATAGTCCTCTCTGGAATCATGTTTTTTTCAAATAAATGCAGGAAATCTAAACAAAGAACATAACACTAAGATGATTTTCACTGTCTTTGAAAGTAAGTCGAAACTACATAGAGGTTTGATCTATGAATCAAGGAACAGACAATTTCGTATTGTTATTTTTTTCCTTCTCTCCCTAGTAAGTTCTCAGAACCTTTGGTTTTTCCTGGTGACAATGGTAAATTTCTTGGTGCTTTGTAAATGTTTGTTGGATGAATATATTTTAAACCAAATTAAGTATAAATAAAAGGTGAATTACAGAAGATGATTTACTTACAGAATCAGTATACTTTGCTATTTTTGGGGGTAGTGGGTTTAATCAAGTGAGACAACATAGACTCTCTGAAAGACTTACCTATAAAAATAACATCATTTATGATCTAGGATATTCTAGCTTGCCTCAGTACACGTATACTTTAAAGCCTGAAAGTACAGGCTTATCATCACTGGTCTTAGGAACCATACTGAAACTGAAAAGGGCCCAAGGGGAGATCATTTTAGATGAGTCCAGTCTACTACCCAAAGGGGCTGACCGCTGTTGCATTACTTTTTCCTGTGCCCTGACACCAAGGCAACAGGAGGGGGATGGCATACTAATGGGGTGGGTTAGCACTGATGGGACCTGATAGCCAGACGGACAGAGATCGGACAAGCCACCACGGAGCGTAGTTTCTGAGATTCATATGCCTCCAAAGAAGTCCAAAGGAGCTAACTCAGGAATTACTATAAAGCAGCCTGTATTTTGTTTTATGATGGTCCAAAATAGCCACAAATTCTTGAGTTACCCTCCTTTCTGTGTCTCTGAAAATTTCCTCTTCTGCAAGACCAACTAGCAAACAGGTCTCATGGCCTCATAAAGCAAATGACATTAAGGAATAAAGACTAACTGTTTACTAATTGGAATACTTATGCCCAAAAGTAACTTATTAACTGAAGGATAGCTCCAATATTTAAATTTCACAGAGGAAAGATTTTTTAGAGGAGAAAGGATCCTCTGGTGCTGCTAGTCCTAGTATCCTATAATTTTCCCCAATTTTTATCCCAAGGATAAAAACAGAGAAATTAGTACTATTTAAAAACATGTTAGCCACTTATCCACCCTCCTTTTCCTCATTTGTGAAGATCCTTTCCTAGACTCAGAAAATTAGAAGCATCATCACTGTAAGATAGGAGGTGCTCTGCAAAGGTCAATATTCAAAACTGGAAAGTCCTTTCAAATTCTTTTACACAAAGTAGTTCATTTAGGAACAAATTTAAACAAATCCTTTTGGAGTAAGCATCTATTACTCTGTATCACATATACATAGGTACTTCTTTTTGGAAGATTATACACTTTGGAGACTATAGAGCTGGCATTGTGAAGATACATATCTCTTCAGAACTGTTAGCTCTGTTTCTCTTTTTCACTGGTTATACCATGTAGCAGTCTCTGCACATGGTAGCTACACATTAAATTGGCATTAAATGAATGAATGAGTTTACCTTTAGGATTTTGGAGTTGGTTCATCAGTACATGGAATTTATCTTGGGCATTCGGCAAATCCATTTTATTAACTGCCAGGAGTGCAGGTTTTGTCTGAAGTTCCTCTTTGTACAACTCTAACTCCTTTAAATCAAAAGAGAAATAATTTTATTAAAATACCTACATGAACTACCTATTAGGTAATGTCTTTGCATTGGTAGCTTGGGTAATCTAGAGCCCATTCACATCTCTGAAATGCAGTAAATCCCAACAATCAGAAAACTAATTAACAAAGGAAATTCAGAAAATGCTAAGTGTTTAGGTCACACATTAATATGTTTGTTTTAGTTCATGTGACATCCCAGTTTTGTGCCTAAAGCCAAATGCAGATATTTGGACTTCTATTGAGCACACAGGAAAAATTCAAAGTAAATGACAATTTAATGCATTATTTTTGAAAAAGTAAGTGTGCTTAGCAATAAACCTTTATGACCATGGAGTCAGGCAATAGTTTCTCAGCCATGACATCAAAAGCACAAGCAAAAGAAAAAACAGACAAATGGAACTTCATTAAAATTTAAATTTCTGTACCTGAAAAGTTAAAGAAAGTGAAGAGACAATTGACAGGATGGGGGAAAATATCTGAAAATCATATGTATCTAATAAGGGATCTGTATTCAAAATACAGAGAACTCCTCACAACACAACAATAAAAAGACAACCCAATTAAAAATTGGGCAAAGAATCTGAATAGACACTTCTCCAAAGACATACAAATGGTGAATAAACACATGAAAAGATGCTCAGTATCATTAATCATTAGAGAAATACAAATCAAAACCATAACGAAATACCACTTTACCCCTACTAGACAGACAATAACAAGTGCTGACATTAATGTGGCAAATTTGAACTCTTATACATTGCTCGTGGGACTATAACATGGTACAATGGTTTATTAAAGACTACTATGAAAACCTATATGCCAACAAACTGGAAAACCTAGAAGAAATGGACAACTTCCTAGAAAAATACAACCTCCCACGACTGACCAAGGAAGAAACACAAAAGTTAAACAAACCAATTACCAGCAAAGAAATTGAAGCGGTAATCAAAAAAGTACCCAAGAACAAAACCCGCGGGCTGGACGGATTTGCCTTGGAATTTTATCAGACACACAGAGAAGACATAATACCCATTCTCCTTAAAGTTTTCCAAAAAATAGAATAGGAGGGAATACTCCCAAACTCATTCTA